CTTCCAGAGGAGGGTTTGTTCAAGACCAAAATAACGCAAACCCTAACCCTAAAGCTAATCCTAATCCTGTTAAGAAGAAGAGAAATCTTCCAGGAACTCCTGGTAAGCTTAAGTTTACTTAATCTTTCATTCACTTCAATGATACCCTTTGCTTAACTGTTGTTGATGAACCGATTAGTCCAGTAATTCCATATATTCTTTTCTTTGTCTCAACAGATCCAGATGCTGAAGTTATTGCTTTATCTCCCAAAACTCTTATGGCTACAAACAGATTCATTTGTGAAATATGCAACAAAGGTTTCCAAAGAGACCAAAACTTACAGCTTCATCGCCGGGGTCACAATCTTCCATGGAAGCTGAGGCAAAGAACCAACAAAGAGGTCCGAAAGAAGGTTTATATCTGTCCTGAGAAAACCTGCGTTCACCACGATCCATCCAGAGCTCTTGGCGACCTCACTGGAATAAAGAAACATTATAGCAGAAAACATGGGGAGAAGAAGTGGAAGTGTGAGAAATGTTCAAAGAAATATGCAGTTCAATCCGACTGGAAAGCTCACTCCAAAACTTGCGGTACCAGAGAGTACAAGTGCGACTGTGGGACACTATTTTCCAGGTATTACATATACCTTGTTTCTTGTTTTTCTCTTGTTCTCAAATCTTCTTTCTTTTTGTTACGATACGTTGCATAAAGAAATAAATGCACATATTTGAAGAATTCATGGCTTTAGGCTTTCTAATTTAATGCAACCTAATGATTAGGTAATAAGTGCTTGTATTCTGAATTTGGGGTGTTGGTTGTGTATTGAATTGCTGTTGTTTTAATTCAAACAGAAAAGACAGCTTTATCACACATCGAGCTTTTTGTGACGCCTTAGCTGAAGAGAGTGCCAGACTCACTTCTGTTGCAGCCACAAACCTAAATTTCAGAAATGATACTGTGAATCTGCCCCATGGATTTGCTGGCCGGGGAGTTCAAGATATTGCTGGAATTTCTCAATTCGGTTCGGGTTTTGGACAAGATTTCACTGGGATGCCTGCAGCAGGTATAACTCTCCTTCAAAAGATACCAACAAAATCCTCGACATCCCAGAATGTTTCCGATGATCAAATCGGGCCTGGTTAATCTTATTGGTATTGTGACTAAATTCTCAAGTCTTTTCGTGTTATTGAATTTGACAGGTTTGCCTGAGATGGTTCAAATGGCTTCAGGCAATCTCTTTGGCTCATCTTCACTGACCAATTTTGATAACCACGGTCACTTTCCTGGATTTGACAAGAGTGGTGCAACTTCAACAAATGCCAATCTCTCCCTATCGCCATTGCCACAAGGGTTAAAAGAAGAAGGTGGAAGCAAAGGTAATTTGATGGAAAGCTTGTCGTCTCTCTACTCGGAAACTCAAAACAAGCAACCCAAGCCTGCTGCACCCATGTCTGCAACTGCACTCCTGCAAAAAGCAGCCCAGATGGGTTCAACAAGAAGCAACCCATCGTTCTTTGGGAACAGTTTTGGTGTAATGAGCTCATCTTCTTCTCACACGGTTAGTCTGAGTGCAACTCAGGATAGAAATGATCAGCTGCACCAGGTTTATCCAAATCATGTGAAGGAACAAGAGACTTTCATGGCATCAAGTAGTGTATCAATGAGTACTGATGCAGGTCTCGGAAGTTCAAATTTGAATTCAATGGCCAGTTCAACGAGCAACAATCTTGAGCAGCTCATGTTGCAAACAGGAGCAAAACACAGTGATTCAAGTCAACTAAAGATGCACCACCCTGGTTCAACTTCAATTGATCAAAGTCTGACTAGAGACTTCCTTGGCATGAGCAACGATCAATCTGCTCGTCCATTTTTACCCCAAGAACTAGCCAAATTTGCATCAATTGGCTCAACCATGGGCTTGAGTCAATTCACCAGCAACCACTGAGCTCAGCTACCTAGCTACCTTTCCAAATACCGTTACAGCTCAGTATAAAAAAATTCAGCAAAAAAAATAAAGGAGTTGCCTATACGATTATATATGCAATATATAATCTTAAAAAAACAAAAAAAGGCTGAAGGCTGGGGACCAAGTTGGAGTCTCTGTGTATAAGCAAAACCAAATCCCCAGAAAAATGCACAGAGCTCATCCTGTGAATGGTCAGTGAAACAGCCGAGGGCGGGGGGACTGTGAGGGGCCCAATTCCATGTTTGAAATGACTAAACAATGAGCCAACTCCAAGTCATTGCATGTACTCGTTGTTGTTCTTGTTGTTTTCTTTTCTGTCTCAGCTCTCTTATCGTTTTTTCACAATATTTTTTCTTTTCTTTTTATATATAATCTTTCCCTCTTCACTTTCTCTCTCTCCTTTTTGAAATTGAACAGCACCGGAAACTAAAGTATTTGGTTGACTGTTCGTCAAAGTAATGCGGCTCACTCGTCAACGTTGGTGGGTTTAGGATTAGGAGAGAGAGACAGACCGACAGACAGAGAGAAAGATTATTTAGTCATCAGTTTGCAGCTTGCTCCCTTGTTCTAAGATTTGTTTAGAGCTCTTACTTGCACCCTTAATTTTGTTTATATATTACACTTATTAGGTAATAGGGGAGACTTCGATTATGCACACTAGCCTTTACACGTCTCTAATTTGTTTTCTTCCCTCTCTATATTTGTTTTTTTGGTTTCGGATTATCATCGGGTACTTGTTTATTTAAACAATTAGATGATCAAGTGGAAAGGGAAGGTAGGCAATAGCCATGTTGGATCAAGTAGGAAGAATCTAGGGGCTGCAAGGTAGACCATATAGTGTAACGAGAAATCTAGTCATGAAATTATTGGGGCCAAGGATTGCTTTGGGGGTGTGTTCGAAGTCAAAGATAGCCGTCCGATCTGTCCGATATTAATTGATGGAAATTTGGGTTAAAAGAAAAAAGAGAAAATATCCGGGGAATTATCAAAAAGATCAATTGCACTTCTAGATGATGCTTTTGCCTTGTATATATAAACGTTTGTAGATAATGTTATAATGATGCCCTAGAAATTGGTATCTATATCATTGTGATGAGTATGGAATATATATGCTTGTAATTTAGTTTGGGTTCTTATTGATTAACAATATGCAATTCGTATTTATTGTTTAAATCCCATAAGATTGATAATTAAGATCATGTTATCATTTAAGTTTATTTGCTTTGTTACATAGTATTTTTTTATTGAATGAATTAATTCACATTATTAAAGTTTCGTTGGATTAATATTTTTATTATTTCAAGCAGAGGCTAAATATAGTTCATAAATTAATGTTAGAAGACTTTTCCATTTCTTAGCCCTTCACGCTCCTTCCTGTTCTACTGAGAAAAAGGATACAGGCAACAACCTTGGAAACTAAGACAGAATATGTTTAGGTTTCCAATGTAAGACCTCTTGGAAACTACATGAACGCCGTTTGTATTCATCTTTCAAAACATGTTTGTGGTTACTTTTATGTGACTAAGACCATATTTTATATATGTTCACTTGACATGCGATCAAAACTAGAAAAACCTAGGCAAAAAACGAACATAGGTGGGCTTTTGGCAGTGATGAAGGTGTGGGAAGGGATATAGACCCTTAATTTTTGGCCGAAAAGGTTGCAAAACTCTCCTTTCCTAGTCTAGGGCACTGTAGTCTCTTGCCCCTAACATCCCGTTGCTGGCCACTCTTTGTACAGGACAGTTTTTGACTTTCAATGTCCTTTAAAAAACATACTAGCAAGGTATTTTTTTATAAAAGAAAAAACTGGGAAATGGGAATGCTTCACACTTCACAGAACCAATGGTCAGGCAAAGTAAACAGGGTCTGCAATGGACGAAGGTATGTGCCCACAATCTGCACAAAAAGAGAGAGAGAGAGAGAGAGAGAGAGATATGCAATGGGATTTTTTTTGTAAAGAAAGTGGAGTTAATTGTTATTGTATAATGATTTTCACCTTTTTATTGGTACTTGTTCAAGACCAGCTTTTTGAGACCGTCAGCCTATGTCTATGAAGTTTTGAACTAGTTTCATATTTGGAATATTAAAACAATACCCATCACTTTTCACAGCATGTTACACAAGCTTCAAACCAAGTTTTTAGCTTAAGATAAGTTGTACATTCAAATTAGTTATTACTTATAAAGTGAACTTAGAGTTAATGGGTCAATAAATTCGAAGTGTCAATAAATTCTACTCCTATAGAAGCGAGGGCTTTTGCTTTAGAGTTGTGTCATTTGCCCAACAAGGCACCAAGCTACGAAAATTATATAGAGTTCTAATTAATTAGGGTTTATGTGGAAAGGAGAAACCGAGAAAGGACCTAATTTGCTCACCTAATTTAGATTTTTATGATTTTGGACCACCATCAACCATTTCCACTCTATATTTTTCATGTGTTAAGCTTTTCACATATCATCATCCCCTATTTCCCTAGCAATATTTATTAGTACAACCGATTGAGGTTCCACAATAACAAGTTGGAATGGATTAAGTTGTCTAGCCAATTAAATAAAGTTAAAAACTTTCCTATTTCCTACTCTATGCATCTTATATATATATGCCTTCTCGCAAGTCATCCTTTATATATATTTCTCATAGACTATTAAAAATTCTTGTTTCCTCTTACAACTTCAATCGATTCTTTCTATTAAGTAATTAAATGATGGATTATTATCAATTTATCAACGTTACGAGTTTTTACGTTTGTAACAAATTTAAATAAATTATTTAATTATTAAATGAACACATGACAATTGTATGAAGTTAAAAACCCTATCGTTAATGTGTAAAATAACAGTCCGTAAATAATTGTTTTATATATCATCGTATGCATAGAGAAATTAAAAAAAAAAGAACTACAATGATAATAATTTCATTTCATATATACTATGAGTGATTATTTAAGGAAACATGAAAGTTTTCAAAGGTCTAATTGGATAAAAGCTTATGAGTGACATTATTGAAATCAAATGGCATGTAAATGCCCATAAACTACCATCCCTTTGAACAAATTGTTACAATTATTTGTTCATAAATTAAAGTCCATCCGACATGCTACAATTCTTTGGGCTATGTCTGGTTTTCTGGTAAAAAAGCGTTTTTTTAAGGCCCAAATATGTTATTGGGCCAGCCCAAAGTCCACGGGAAGAGTACGGTATGACATGTCAATCTCCTACTAAGTTAAGAGTTCCACCGGTGCGCACTTGGCCGGACCATCAAATCCACGTGTATTCCAGCCATTGGCCTAAACAACGTGTAATGACATGCAAATCCTCGGGAACACTTCTTCCAAATCCCAAAGACTGTATGCAACAAATTTATATGAACTGCAAAACGTTTCCTTTATGATTTTGGTTTCACCAACTTAAATTTGGAGTGTTCGGAATCAAAATCAAATAAGCAGAAGTAATAATATATATACATATGCACACAGACAAAAAAAAAAATCCTATGTAAATCTAAATCTGTAGATTAATAGATAGAGAGGAAGAACAATGTTGAATACTTTGAGTTTGAGTTGGGCCTTGAATTCCATGGCTTGGAGAGGATTGGTCTACACGATTTTACTACTCAACTTTGCATTGGTTTGCCAGTTTCTGCTTCTCCAGCCTCTCGTTTCTGCTTTCGGTTAGTGAGCTTTTTTTTTATTATTATTATTTTAAATTTTCTCTTTATGTTTTTGAAACTTTTTTTGTTTTTATTTTTGGAGGAATCGCATTAAGT